CTGCTCACACTCACAGGGCCAGACTCTGAATCATAAGATTGTTTCCACAAAGGAAGTCACCACGGGAGAACAATAGTTCGTACTCTTAAACCGTCTCTTTGAGTGGTGAGTGAAGGAAACTTACAGAGGAATGAATGTGGGGAGAATTTCTTCATTCTCAGTTCTGGGAGGGGGCGAGGCACTCTAGGGGCAGTCAATCACAAGACTACTGATGCATTTTTGGAATAACTGCTCTCTTTTGTGTTGTCAGCTAAAATAACCCACTGGTGTTCATCAGGCGCTGATGTTATCAGTATCCTCAGATCAAAATAACCCATTGGCATGGCACATTGTTAGGTTGAACGCTAAGGCAGAGGTTGGTGCACCTTAATTCATGCTTGACCACAGTATTTAAAACAATTTTATGAATCAGACTTAGTTTTTAAATCACTCACTGGCCAATGTAACAATGGATAATTTAAACTCCTTGAGTGTGGATTTCTTCATCTATAGATTATAACATATTCCTCATTAACCTCAGCGTTGATATGAAGATTAAGTGAAAAAACAAACAATATCTAAATGCTTGTCAAGCAGAAACACTCCATAAGCAGTTATAGCATTCCAGAAAAATCCATCACAGGTTATTAAATTAGATTCAGGTAGTTCTTAATTTAATTAAAAAAATTTAACTTTTTGTGACAAAATAAATCACCCTTCTGGGTTTTTCTTGGGCTGTAATAGCAAGTAATCAAAACAGCATCAGATGCATTAGATGGGTAAGCAAAGGAAAAACAAGGAGTTTAATAAACTGTGTAGAGCATTCACATAGTTGTAATTTCTAAAAAATAATGGAGCATACCAGGAATATTTAGGGCAGCAAGGACAGAGGGAGAGAATTCACATGACACTTTGAGAGTAAAGATGAGAGAATTAGACAGAGAGGACTTGTTTACTGATAAACTTAGAACTGGGTGAGACCCACCAAAACTATATTCTTCTAGGTCATAAAAGGGAGAGCAGTGATTGCATCTTTCATTAGGAAAAGGGCAGAAGCTTGTAATATATTGATCTCTTCTTCAATGGAGAGGCTAAGGACTTGGGCAAGAACAGAAGTTTCTCCTTACCTTCAGGGTCCTCAATACTCTTTACCCAAAATAACCTGCATTTTTAAACCTGAGATTTGCACAGAGCTTTGATTGACTTCTAGTTCTCATACCAAGGTGCCAAGAGGCTTATACATCACCTGGTTCTTTTCAGGAGACTGACCTCACAACTTCTAGCAATTGCCTCCCCTATACTCACCAATCTCCTTTCAGAAACTTTTTAAGTATTTCTTGCCACTCTATCTCATGGTCTATAGAAGTCATCAGTATGACTTGAAGTTTCTTTATTCAGCTTTTAGCTGTGAAAGTAATAGAAGCTGTCAAATTTTAATTTATCTATTGCTTACTAACAAAATTTTAATATCTCCCTCACTCTGCAAAAATGCTCAAATTAGTTTTCTGTTGCAAAAAAAGAAATTAGAATACCACAGAGCTTTTCTTCCCTTTTTTTATGTATAGTTTTTATCCCTCACCCCCATCCATCCTAGCCCACCTACACCACAGGCCCTAGGCACTCACAGATCTGCTTTGTCACTATAGATTTGATGTCATCTTCCTAAGATTCCGTTTAATGGAATCACACAGTATGTATTGTTTTAAGACTGGCTTCATCTACATTGTTAGGAGTATCAGCGGTTTGTTTCTTTTTATTTCTGAGTAGTGCTCCATAGTAGAAATTCACCATAATGTGTTTAATCACCTACTGATCAACATTTTGGTAGTTTACAATTTGGAGCTATGAGCATTCATAAACAAATTTCTATATTTTTTTTCCTGGGTAAATACTTAAGGGTGAAGTTGCTGGGTGCCAAGTTAAAGAATAAAGGAAAGCAGTATGAAGGTACTGCTTTCTGTAAGCCAGGTAGGCAGGCCTCAGAAGAACCCAAATCCACCAACACCTTGATCTTGACTTCCAACTTCCAAAACAGAGAAAATAAATTTTGGTGTTTTTTTTTTTTAAAGATTTATTTATTTTTTTATACAAGCATTGGGTACAGTCAGAAGCGTGAGAGGGTGAGAGAATTCACCAGAGCCAAAGCGGGGAACAGAACAGGCAGACTGACGAAATACACTGCTGAGGGGAGCAGTGGGCGCGGCAGGAGAGGTCTGTCGCGCCATGTGGGACCCTCGCTGGTGGCCAGGGATCGAACCAGTGCTGCAGAGGCTGCGGGCAGCTTCGCAGCCCAGTGCTCAACCGCTGCACCACCAGGGGAGGCCCAATAATAAATTCTGTTTTTTAACTCATCCAGTCAGCGGTATTTTACTGTAGCAATACTAGGAAGCTAATACACTGGTCTCTAAGGTAAATGTGTTTATCTTTCTAAGAAACTATTTTGCAAAGTGGTTGTGCAATTTTACATTCCTGCCAGCAACAAGACTTCCAATTGCTCCACATTTAAGAAAACCTGGTATTGACAATCTCCTTAATTTTATACATTCTATTGGCTGTGTAGTAGTATCTCATTGTGATATTTTAATGCATTTCCCTAATGACTAATGCTGTTGAGTATCTTTCCATGGTCTTAATACTGATGCATGTATTTTCTTTGGCAATGGTTGTTCAAATCTTTGTTCTTTATTCAGTTTATCTTTTTTTAAAAAAAGATTTATTTATTTTTTTTTTTTTTTAAAGATTTATTTATTTATACAAGCACTGGGTACAGTCAGAAGCACGGGAGGGTGAGAGAATTCACCAGAGCCAGAGGGGGAGCAAAACAGGCAGACTGACGAAATACACTGCTAAGGGGAGCAGTGGGCACAGCAGGAGAGGTTTGCGCGCTATATGGGACCCTCGCTGGTGGCCAGGGATCGAACCAGTGTTGCAGAGGCTGTGGGCAGCTTTGCAGTCCAGCGCTCAACCGTTGCGCCACCAGGGGAGGCCCCAAAAAAGATTTATTTATTTATACAAGAGCTGGAGTACAGACCAGTGGTGCTGGGGGTGAGAGAATCCACCAGAGATAGAACGGGGAGCAGAACAGGCAGACAAAGCGAAAACACTGCTGAGGGGATAGCGGGCAAGACAGGAGATGCCTGCCACACCATGTGGGTATCTCACTGGCTGGCCGGGAATCGAACCCATGCTGCAGAGGCTACAGACAGCTTCACAGTGCTGTGCTTAAGTTGTAGGGACTCTATATATTCTACATTCATCAGATAAATGTGATTTTATATATTTACATTTTATATATATATATATATAGGATATATATAGTGGATATATATACGTGTGTGTGTGTGTGTGTGTGTGTGTGTGTGTGTATAGTGAATATTTTCCCCCAGTTTGTTGTCTCCTTTTTCATGTTCTTAATGGTATCTCCTTTTTGGAGAGCAAGATTTTTTGATGATCAGTCTGTATCTTTTGCTCCTATTGTTTATGCTTTACATGTTCTTAGAAATCTTTGCCTGCTGAGGTCAAAAAGATTTTCTCCTAAAACACTGTTAGCTTTTACATTTAGGTCTATGACTGATTATAAATTAAATTTTAAATGTGGTGAGAACTGAGGTTCATTATTTTCCACATGTATAGCTAATTGTTCCAGTATCTTTGTTAAAACATTTATCCTTAGGGCCTCCCCAGCACGCAGCAGTTGAGTGCTGGGCTGCGAGGCTGCCCGCAGCCTCTGCAGCGCCGGTTCGTTCCCTGGCCACTGGCGAGGGTCCCACAAAAAAAAAAAAAATTATCCTTAATCCTTAGAGTTATTTTCTACAATCTCTCTTTTCTGCCTAACTTCTAGTTTCATTAAAATTTCCCAGACTGAGTTTTAAGTTCTTACTGGAATCAAAATCCTAAAGTTGAGGAAAATCTGTCATGGGAATAAGTCTACTTACCCAACAATTTTGTTGCCTACTACATTATGAGCAAAACATTTATAATTTACCTCAAAATTCACTGGAAAATGCTCCTACTTTTCTAACAACATATTTGTAAACAAACTTTTGGAACACAAACTATTCTAAAATGAGTCATATTGTGTGTTATATGTGGCTATTTTAATTTTCAATTGAGAGGTTCCATTTCTCTTAATTTTCACAGAGCATAACACTGTTACTCACAAAATTTAAAATTGTCTTTAAAGATTTTTAAGACTTTTTACATGTAAGTTGTTGTACTTTTTGCAAGATTTATTTCCAATTAAAAAAATTAACTATTAAATTGGCGTGTCGTAAAATTCCTGAGGAAAAGAGCAAATGTTTTTAAGCTGTTATTTTACTATTTTTCTAAAAATGCTGTATGGTATTTCTTTACTGTTCAGAACTAGTATGAAATAGAAAATGGTGGATACAATAGCAAGAATAAAACTATTTCAAAGAACAAATACACGTCTCCCAAATGGCTATGATTTTGAAACTACCATTTCAAAGGGATGCTTGGGAGGAGGGCAGAGACAGTGGTAGTAGTTTAAAATCTATATGACAATTTCCTGACTCATCTCAATCAAACAACTCTGTACAGAATACCATTTAAATTACCAGCACAGACTTTCAAAAGAAGGTAAGGGGAGGACTTTGTTAAGTGAGGATATTGGTTGTAGATGATTCCTAATTTTTAAACAAATGTTATTACTGGTATTTTTAAAATAATATTATTGGTTTTAGCAATGGTCAATAATTTCATATGCTATTCAATTCTTCTTAGTTGTATTTCAAAATATCTCATATATATTATAAACAGGAAAATCTCAACTCCAGAAAGATTATTTAACACCATTTTTGCTTTCAATGAATAAGATGACATATAAAAACCAGAAAAACAATACTCAAAAACCTTTAAAAACTGTCAAATCAAAACATTTTCATCTGCATGATTCCAACTTTGTAATTCAACAACAGAAAATCTATGTGCGTGTGAATTTGTGAAGGATGAGCCACCTATGTCTACATTACCCACCCCAAAAGAACAGGAAGACCACAAAAATGTTATAAAACAAAGTTTATTCTGCAATACTTTATCATAATGAACTGCATCTCTTTGGTAAAAATAAACTTTATAAACATTTTAATAATCAGATTAGATACAAAAACTAAGTATTTGTTCAGTTGTTTTTAATATGAGCAAAGACTGGCAACTGAGAAGTGGTTCACTTGTGACTTATCTACTGGCAGTTATAACTCAAACTCAGGGCAATTTTTTTATGCTACATTAGAAGAGGGTAACTAAAATTTCTTGAATCAGAAAACAATCTTATACTTTCATTTAAAAATAAATAATAGTTACAATGAATTGGCAATTATACATTTTTATACACTATATGGTGGCAACATAATACTTTAAAATTAAGCAGTTTAATAAGAAATGTACAATTTTAAAAACAAGTTTGACAATGGCACTGGCAGTTAGATGCAAAGAATGTGCTTTAAGGAAAAAAAATGGCAGGTTTAACATTAAAATACCCTAGTCTTTCTTTCAATAAATATTTTGTCTTCATCATTAACATATTGAAATAAACTTTCAAAGCTTCACATTTTGAACTAAAAGCTAAAATATATGTAAACCAGAAAGCCTCAAAATTTCTTAATTAAATAGCTATGTTCTTCACAAAAGATTAAGTTACTGTAATATTTAAGACAATGGTCTTTACAGCTTTGTGAAGTTTTCACATCTGTTGCTTAAATTGCAGACAAAGGCCTCCTGGTCTATCAAGACTCATACAATTTCTCCTTAACACTTCCTCTTGCCTTGAATTGGCACTAACATATATTTAGCTGACCATCTATTATGAACCCTTTACATAATGCCTCAAAGTAGCAAAAGAAAAGATTTTAAATTTCACTATTTACAAAGGAATCAAAATTAAGTCATGCTGGCTGTAAGGACAGGGAAAGGTTCAAAGTTGGAAAAAAGGAGGTGATCCACCATAATTATCTTTTCCATGAATACAAGTACTGTTTCATTTCTCTGAATTTGAAAAGTAAAATATTAACTAATTTAGCAATATATTGCACAAATAAATTTCAAAAATATATATTCAAGAAACACTGATCCTAATGGGGGTGGCAAAAGATGAAGATTGTGATGGGTCAAAACTTTTACTAAGGATATATTAAAAACCAGAATGGTTTTAAAGTACAATTTATATTTTGATGTAAGGCAAATTATATGTAAGCTTAAATCACAGTTTTAAGATATATTGGAAAATAATACCTTTCTGGGATTACCAAATTGTTTTTGTTACATTAAAAATTATATTGATTTATTCTTGGAAATACAACTTCCAGTTCATAGGACTTAGAATGACTTTCCTTAATTGGGTGGTTATTAGCCATGTTTTTAATCTCTACACACCTGAATAGGGTCATAATATCCATGAAAGTAGTAAATGGGGGCCACAATTAAAAAGGTTCTTCCCCTTCAAAATAGCTACCTAATAGCAAATAAAAGTGATGCACTGAATTTTGTATATAAATTACAAATAAAACATTGTTTAACTTTTTCCTGTTAGCTCTTAATCCAAAAGTCCTTATAGTCCTTGCTAGTAATGAATATAACATAAACTTTTAAATTTGTGGGAAGAGTACAGGAAGGAGAGAAGAAAATTTATAAAGTTTCTGTTATTTATATTAAAACAAAATCACCTTGAGATTCCTATTAGAATTGTGAACTCTCCCCCTCCTTATCTTAGCTCATTTTCCTTTATTTATAAAGAATAATTACACAATGGATAGACATCAAGAGAGAACATTTGTGGTACAGAATTTCAGTAGAACAATATAAACTGGAACCAGATCATTGAAACACTACCATGGCAAATAGCTTAAGAATATTATTATTATAACAATATTTATGATCTTTTTGCTGTTCACACTGTGGTAAGAGCAATTTTTTTGGTGTTAAATATTCACTTCCTACAGTAAAAGGTGCTAACTTGCGGTAGCCCTTTCTGTATTAGATATGAAGAATAAGAAAATCCAAATACTTCATCCTGCATACTTAAGAACAGTTTTTCATTATCAACAAATTAGAAAATAACTATATATCAACAGCACCAATTTTGATTAATGTGGCTATCCAGTTTCAATTATAATTAACATGGAACCAAGACAGATTATATTAATGTGGTTGTCCCTGGCTTAAAGTTTTGCCAGCTAAAAGACATTCTCATTATGCTTCTCATTTGACAGTTTTGCCCAAATAAAATTTAGAAGTTAAAATAAAAATATTTGTCTCTTTAAAAAAAAAAAAAAACAACCCAAAAAATGCATTATAGTCATAGAAACAGTTGAAGGTAACAACCAAAATCATGATCCTGTGTCTGTACGTATGTACATATATATGGTATGTAAATATAAAATTAACATACAAATTAAGACAAGGTCATTGTCTATGAAAAAGGATGTAGAATGAGATAAGATTGGATTTTTTGAAAGTTGCTTTCACCACTGTAAAAAATACATATAATGAATAAATTTAGTTTTAATAGTATACCTTGTTCTTTATGATATACACTCTACAAATGATATAAGAAAATGTTTCTTATTCAGGCAGATTTGTTTGAATACTTAAAAAATACCATAGTCAATGCATATTTGGAACAGTAATAAAATCTTCTAGCATGGAATAATGGCACATAATAGGTATTAATTATACTGCCTCATTAAGAGGATAGACTGCGTAAAATCTAATTTTTATGAATTTTGAAATCTGTGAAGGTATCCTGTTAGTTTTTTTGAAGTTATTTTTGCATACAAATTTAATTAACATAATACTTGGACAGATATATTTTCCTGAATGACCTACCTTTATTTGTGATGACATAAGTATTCACAATGTTTATGTTAGATTACACTCAATTCCTATTACAAGATTCTTTATAATGCAGTGCATTTAACAAGCAAAGGAAAGATTCTCTTATTGCAAAAGTGTGTCAAAATGGGTATTAACTCAATAACATATTATGGCTATATTCTCCATTGGATAGTTTATATTGAACGAAGACAGCTGGTATTTAAAATTTAAACAATGGTTGCAAAGCAATTTGGAAAAGAATAAAAGAATCCAACAAATGTTATGCAACAACTGGGAAGTAAAATAGTAATAATAATAAAGATAACATTGTAATAGGAATTAGAGCATTCTTAGATTAAATTACATTGCAAAATTGCCTTTTCCAAATCTTAGAATTTGTTGTATTCCCTGCCTATGTAACCAAATGGAACTTTCTAGGTACCTATGACCTTTTCCAATGTATATTTAACTATGTTGATGCTTCAACAAGAATAATTAAAACAAAATTTAAGACAAAAATTTAAATCTCATCCTATTGGATTGTGTCAGGAGAGGCATATGTGAGAAATACATCAGAAAAAAATTTAGCTGGATCAGCAACTAATTTAGATTGGAAAAGAAAATGAAAAAAAGTTATAGAGTTTTCAATTCTTATATTTTGACATATTAATAAAAATAAAAGATTTTCCCTACAAGTTTAGGACAAAAGCTGGAGATTTTCTTATATAAAAATTTCTAAACTTTGTAGACACTTATCACAAAAATTATGCTTTTAGGACTTCACATCATAGTTATGATTGGGCATGATCCTAAACAGCAATTTTAAAACAAAAGAAACCAAAAATGTTTTGAAAGAAACAAGTTATTAGCACCCCTCCCCCACCCTAAAACAAAAGGAAGTCCATTATGGCTTTGATATCCCTTGTAAAGAACTAAGTAGAAGAGTATTGCCACACTTTAAATTAATTTCACACTAATAAGTACTTCTATTTTTTCCTCTGCTTCTGATTTTGTGTCTTTGCAGTACTTATTAGGGAACCCAGACATGTACGAATTCCAGCAAGGTGGAGCAGAGATCCAGCTGCCTCTTTGAGCTCCTCATCAATTTCTTGACATGACCGTTTTTGCATCTTTTTGCCAGGCTTCCCTTTTTCAGAGGCATTTGCACAAGCCTGTGATGCATAGCCACTATCTCCAAGAGGATCATCTTCATAATCAACGTCAGTATCTTCTTCACTATGAAATCCTTCACTACCATCACTTCCCACATGGCTACTCTTTGGGATAAATTCATATACTTCATCCACAGAAGACAAGGAAGATACACTAGACCTGGATGCACAACGCTGTGCTGCCATACTACTTGCACTGTAATTATGGTCTTCTTTTGGATCGATGCTGGTGACTAACGAATCACTCTCTTGTAATCGCACGGTACTGGGATGATTAAATGCATTGCCATAACTTCTCTTTTTTTGCATTGCTGTTTTAAGAGGAAGAGGCTTCTCACCTGTGGAAAATGGAACTTCCATCAATAGGTCAAATGCATTCCCCCAAAATAATTATCAGGTCATTTAAAACAACTATGTTACTTCTGAGTAATAAATGGTTTAGATTAGTAATGTTTTATAGGTTCTTTTCTTATGCAAACTACATCCTGTAGGTATTAATCTGAAACATTTTAGAACCACTTAACAATATATCCTGACCTTTCCACAGAAAATATAGTACTTGAGCTGTCTGCACCTACTGCCTCAATATGAATGTACACTGTTTGGCTAAGCATTTCCTTTTTGTCATTTATATTGTTCCCAATTTTTCACTAATACAAATAAAATTACAATGAAAATCCTTTTACAAGTCTTTTTTCACATGGGCAAATTTTTTCTAGGAGACATACCAAGAAAATGATAAATGGTATTTCTAAACTGCCCTCAAAAATGGTTGTATACTAATATACTATAAGTATATGACAATACTCAGGCCCCATACTTAACACCAAATATTATCAATCATTTTTTTTTATTTAAATTTTATTTTTATATTCCCCATACAATTACAACCCCCTTATTTTGACCCCAACCCCTCCTTTCCCTGCCCTCCACCCTCACAGAGTGTCTCTGGTTCATGGCTATTTGTTGATTTGATATTTTCTTTCTTATAGTTATTCTTTTTCCTGGTCCCTTATTTAAGTTTCCAAGATTCTTGCTATGAGTCAACCATTTTAATTTTTCCTAAGTTTATAGACAATAAAATGCTAATAGTATTTTGTTTTGTACTTTCCTGATTTCTAAGTTGTTTATCTTTTCAAATGTGTGTTGTTCATATATATTTACTCTTCTAAGACCTACCCATTCACATATTTTGCTAGCTTTTCTATTGAACTATTTTATTCTCATTTATACGATCCTTTCATATACATACACTCAATATTTATCCTTTATGTGTTATATGTAGTAAATAAAATGTTTTCCCAGTGTTTTGCTTGTTATTTTTCTTAAAGATATCTTTTGTTGTCAGAACTCTAAAATTTTGATGTTTAATTAAATTTACCCATCTTTTCTTTATAGATTTTGAACTTGGGATCTTTTCTTTAAATATATATTTTCACATTGTTGTTCATGTACAAGTCTGATTTCTCCTCTCAAGTGTAATCCCCATAAAATTACCACCACCAAGACACACATGAATCATCACCATAGTCTCTTGTGCTCTTCCCTCTCTTGTTTTGATCCCTTTCCCTCCTCCTCCCCTGCTGAATGTTTCTGATTTGTAGTCTGCTTGCTAGTTTTGTCTTTTTTTCCACTGGCCCCTTGTTTGGTTTCCTTATATTCCTATTATAAATGAAACTATCGATATTTTTCTTTCTCCTTCTGACTTATTTTATTGAGCATAATCTCTTCAGCTCCATCCATGTTGCTGCAAATGGCATGAGTTTATCCTTTTTGATTGCTGACTAGTATTCCATCATGTATATATACCACACCTTCTTGATCCAGACCTCTGACTTTGGGCATTGAGGTTGTTTCCATATCTTAGCTATTGCAAATAGTGCTGCAATAAACACAGGAGTGTAGGTATCCTTTCAAATTAATGTTTTTGTGTCCTCTGAGTAGATTCGTAGGGGTGGAATGGCTGGGTCATACGGTAGCTCCATTTTTAGTAGTTTGAGGGTCCTCCACACGCTTTCCATACCAGTTGAACCATTTTGCATTTCTGCTAGCATACACTTTGGATCTTAAAGGTTTTTCCTATTCCAAGGTTATAAATATATCTTCCTATTATTTGTGCTTTCATTTGCACTTTTAAATCTTCAAGCTTAATTTCAAAATATGCTATTTATTTCTTCATTTTTTGGTCAATGTAAAAAGATCACAGGGCTAACTACACTCTCTCAATGAGAACTATATCAAAACAAAAAGTAATTTGTTTGTAATAGTTTTGCATTCTAAACTACATTTAAAAAGGCACACACAAAAATGTTTAAAATGGAAGCATGACTGGATTGCTTACATTCTAAAATTCCTTGTTCTATAGAAGTATTTAAAAGCATCATTGCAGTGGCAGCATCAATATCAGATTCTGAAAAAGGAAAGGAATGGTAATATTAATGTTCTTTGCAGAAGAGAGGCTATTATAAGTATTTGAATGTACCAAAAGGTAACCAATATTAAGATTTTGGTGTATGTTCTCCTACTAAAATATATATATGTATATATATACACACATATTCATCTTATATTTACCTTTAATCAAAATGAGATTATTTTACAATCTGCTTTTGCTAAAATTATGGACAGTTCTATGAAGAGTATTGTAAAAAGTAAAATTGAAAGAGATAAAATTTCTCTTCTTTAATTATTCAGAATGAAAAAACCTGAACTTATACAGGCTAAATTTTAAAAAAATGCTTATTTTGTGATCTGCAGTTATGAAGTACTATGTTAATTATATGTTGGAGCTAACACACACACACACACACACACACACACACACAGACATATGTAATTGGTCTGTCTAGATCATTAGTTTATAAAAGCTAAATAAATAATTATTGCCAGGACAAAAGTATTAATACCTTTATTCGTATGAGCCTATAAGTACTACAGATTTATGTAATACTCAGGAGGTCACACATAATTATGGATAGTTCGTAAGAAAAACAGACCTTAAAAGGTTGGTAAAATCATCAGGTTCTACTCCAGATAAGGTAATTATGTTCTACTCCAGATAAGGTAATTAAAACATGTGTATTTATACTAAAAGATCCTCTCCATCACGGTCATCTATTAGTCTGAATAACTTAGTCAAATAAAAGTGTAACGATATAAATTGTGAGGAAAAGTTAGAAAACATTTATAAATTTTATAGATTATAAAGGATACGTTTAAAATTACACTCAGATATGAAACCTCCCATTTCTACTCCAAGTTGGAAAAGTTTATTTCTTCCATTTCACTTGCATTATCTAATTATAGTTATTTTAAATAACAAAGCCACAAAGAGATTTACTTGTATTCTCCCCAACTTGACCATAAACTCTGTAAACAGGAAATACTATGGTTACTGATTTTAAGAATTATAAATCAGAATAATTGTAAATCAGAAGACAGTTGTGATGAGGAAGCACATTAATTATTGCCAGGACAGTTATTGCCTATAGCTCTTTTCTTTTAAATAAAATGTGACCTTATAAAACAGAGTCTCTACATGGATGTCTTCCCAATTAGACTTTCAGCTTCTATAGGGTAAGAACCATGTCCTATCCTCTATATTCCACAATGTTTGGTATAATAGTAGGTCCTTGATAGATATTTAAAGAATAAGTTTACAACATCTTTGCTCTCCTTTCCTTAGATTATGATGATTATGACAAAATTAACATTGAGTATTTGCAATGGGTTTGGCATGGATTAAGTATTACTAAGGTATGCCTCATAACTTTGTAATGTGGATTCTATAAGCATTTGCATGTTAAAGAAAACAGAAACAGAGGAGGCTGTAGGAATGATGCAGGTAGTATTTGAACCCTGTCTGTCTACATTTAGAACCCAGGTCTTCAATCAGTATTTTACCATCATCCCTTAACACTTACCAAGCACCCATGATTAGAGTAGAAATTTTACAGACAATACTAGAAATTCTCTAGTCTGTTATTCATTTCATAAATTAAGGGTCTTGTTACGAGCCTGACATCAATTCCAGGTTGTGGGAATATAACAGAAAACAAAACAGTACCTAACCTCTCAAAACACAATGAACTAATTAAAACACAGGATGTTGGAAAGTGAGTGATAAACATTAGGGAGAAAAATTAAAAGAAAGGGAGATAAAGAGATTCAATTTTAAATACAGGGGTTAGGGAAGATTCAAGGACAAAGACCTCAGAGAGAAGTGAATGAAACCATATAGATATCCAAAGGAACAGCATTTAGGACAGAAAGAACAGCAAGTAAAAAGAATGTGAATGAATAATTCCCATAGTTCATAGCCAAGAGGCTAGCAAAACAAAAATCTCTCCAATTCCTGTCTTTTAAAATGAAAACTGACTACAGTTTGATAAGGTTTAGTTTTCTCACATGTCTTTGAAGAAAAAAAGGTGCTGCCTCTAGCCCATATTGCATCTCTGTGTGAACTGGAAAAAAGGCAACTCTGCCTCCAGGTGAATGCTTCCCTCTATCAAGGCACACAGCTTGAAGACTGAAGTGTGGGTTGTATTTCAAGAACCCACTCATTGCCTCAGCCAGATGTCCTTGTACAGGGCACAGTGAGCATGGCATTATGCAAAAGCCCTACCAGAGATTCCTGCTCCATGAGACAATTTTTCTTTTAGTAAAAAAAGGTCTACTTTGTTTCCAATTTTATTTATAAAAAGAAAAACAAGGAAACTGGGGTAAGAAAGGTAACCTAAAATTGAAACACATTACAATGAAGAAATGATTTCAGGGAATTTATAATCTATAAATGAGGCACATATAAAATCCTCTTATTAAAAAGTATTATCCCTGGGCCTCCCTGGTGGCGCAGGTAGTTGAGCACTGCACTGTGAAGCTGTCCACAGCCTCTGCAGCGCAGGTTTGATCCCGGCCGGCCGGTAAGAATCCCACATGGCCAAGCAGACCTTTCCTGTCTCGCCAGCTGCTCCCCTCACCAGTGTATTTTAGTCAGTCTGCCTTTTCTGTTTCCCTCTCAGTCTCTGGTGAATCCTCTCATCCTCCCGCGCATTTGGCCTGTAACCCCCGTTCTTGTATAAAAAAATAAATCTTAAAAAAAAAAAGTATTATCCCTAACTTTACTTCTTATAATAAACTTCCATTATAATTCAAGGAGTCTCATTTCTGAAATACAGTACCCTGAAACCAAAGAAAACTGATAAGAAGCTTATCCCAACATAAGAGAACTGCATTTCTCCTCTCAGTTTCTAAATATTTAAAGTGATAACAAAATTAGGTGCTGTTTCTGTTAACAGCAGAATTTCTTACAGAGAACTCACTATAGCCAAATTAATTTAAAATCACCCCCATGGAATTAACTTATATGAAATAAAAATTTTATTTGCAAAATAATTTTATCTATATCTGATTCATTTGGTTTAGAATTATTGTAAACAGTTTCTACAATTCCTTGCCAATTAACTCTAAGAAAAGTTTAACATTGAAATATATGTTAGAAAAATGACCCAAAACACTTGGTTATCAAGAATACTTGATTATCAATGATTTGTCTGAGGTAGAAACTTTAGAAATTCATGCAACAAAAACTCTCTGGGTAGGGCCTCCCCGGTGGCGCAACGGTTGAGCGCTGGGTTGCGAAGCTGCCCGCAGCCTCTGCGACGCCGGTTCGATCCCCGGCTGCTCCCCGGCCACCGGAGGAGGGTCCCACATGGCGCGCAGACCTCTCCTGCCGCCCGCTGCTCCCCTCAGCAGTGTACTTCGGTCCTTCTGCCTGCTCTGCTCCCCGCTCTGGCTCTGGTGAATTCTCTCACCCTCCCGCGCTTCTGACTGTACCCAGTGCTTGTATAAATAAATAAAAATAAAATAAAAATAAATCTTTAAAAAAAACTCTCTGGGTAGACTTTATAATTTTCATTTGTACCTAATCTATTTGGGTATTATAATTAGAATGAAACCATAGTTGTTTTTCACAACTGAAAACACTTCATAATGTTATTTTTTTCAATAATAAATACTTTATCTATTTAAAGGTGCTCTTTATTTAAAAAAAAATACTATTAGTTATTTAAATACCTAATTCATAGTTTATTTTATTCTTTTACAAAGTGTTTTGTACATGTTTCTCTAACACTACTTAAGTATTTTGTTCCAGCTTAAAATCATTTATCATTGGAGCCATCCAAATAGTAATTAAAAACAAAAACTTAGTTCAAAGTCATTATCATTTCCCTTTTTATCGGTCATAGTCTCGACTGGAGTTCAAAACATGCTACTGACTTAAGTGACCGGTTCAAACAAATTTCTGTCATAAGTGTTAATTTGTTCTTCCTGGTTTTTATCTTTCCTTAGCCTTAATGCCAGGGAACTATTAACAATAATTGAAAAAAATTGAAAGGACACCACTTTTAGTCATGTGAAAGTGAGGGTTATAAGACAAACTGGTAAGTTTCTGTTTTCTGATTCTCGGTTCATTTGCTTAAGGAATATGAGAACGGTAGAAGCAGAATTCAAATGGTTACTGGTTTTCCCCACTACATGAAAGTAGAACACTCCTATTTGGTACGATTTGATAGGTTATTTTTAGAGTTTAGGAATGCTCAAAATACCATGTAATTGTTGCATAATAACGCAACAGTATAATATACATTAATAGTGATAGTGTTTCAACACTTAAAAAATAACCTATCAAATAATACATAAGAGGAAAATTCTACATTCAGATAGAGGGCAAAACCTATATTACTCAGTAATTTATTAACTATAAGAGGATTTGTTGCCTCTATTAAAAATAACATTTACATGATGTCAGGTTCATAACAAATGGAGAAACTGATTCTTTGAAGAACAATTTCTTTTTTTAAAATTTATTTTATTTATTTATTTATACAAGCACTGGGTACAGTCAGAAGCGCGGGAGGGTGAGAGAATTCACAAGAGCCAGAGCAGGGAGCAGAACAGGCAGAAGGACCGAAGCACACTGCTGAGGGGAGCAGCGGGTGGCAGGTGAGGTCTGCGCGCCATGTGGGACCCTCCTCCCGTGGCCGGGGAGCAGCTGGGGATTGAACTGGCGCTGCAGAGGCTGCGGGCAGCTTCGCAACCCAGCGCTGTGCCACCGGGGAGGCCCAAGAACAATTTCTTTAGAGAACAATTTCAATAGATTAACAACCTTAACCTGCCTGGACCACCAGTTTTATTCATTTCAATTAAGATACAAATAATGCTAATTTGCATTATTTAAATTTGAACTTATATTTTCTTTTTTTTTTTTTTTTTTATAGAGGCATGTTTTTTATTTATTTATTTATTTGTTTATTATATTTGTTTGTTTTGTTTATACATGCACTGGGTACAGTCAGAAGCGCGGGAGGGTGAGAGAATTCACCAGAGCCAGAGCGGGGAGCAGAGCAGGCAGAAGGGCTGAAGTACACTGCTGAGGGGAGCAGCGGGTGGCAGGAGAGGTCTGCGCACCATGTGGGATCCTCCTCTGGTGGCCGGGGAGCAGCCGGGGATCGAACCGGCGCCACAGAGGCCGCGGGCAGCTTCGCAACCCAGCGCTCAACCGCTGCGCCACCGGGGAGGCCCTGAACTTATATTTTCAATTAGCGTTTAACATTATCAACTATCTAAATTTCATATCTGCTTGTAGTATAACTAGCTTAAGCATAAATACTACAATTTACTAAATAGAACGTGAGTTCCATTTTTGTTTGCTTTGTTCACAGACATATCCTTGGCACTTAGCATAAGAGTGTGCTCAGTAAATATTTTTGTTTGTTTGTTTGTTTGTTTGTTTTAATAGAGGCATGTTTATTTATTTATTTGTTTGTTTGTTTGTTTATTTATACATGCACTGGGTACAGTCAGAAGCGCGGGAGGGTGAGAGAATTCACCAGAGCCAGAGCGGGGAGCAGAACAGGCAGAAGGACCGAAGTACACTGCTGAGGGGAGCAGCGGGCGGCAGGAGAGGTCTGCGCGCCATGTGGGACCCTCCTCCCGTGGCCGGGGAGCAGCCGGGGATTGAACCGGCGCCGCAGAGGCCGCGGGCAGCTTCGCAACCCAGCGCTCAACCGCTGCGCCACCGGGGAGGCCCTCAGTAAATATTTTTAAATGGATAAATTTACTCTAGATATACACCAAACCAATTTTTTTTGTTATCAGAATGAGATTTCATGTCTCTTCCCATATTATATAATACAGTAAAAATACTGGGTTGTCGAACAAGTCATGACACATCTCTTCTATGTTTTTCAAAGGTAAAATATGTCACGACTTTTCCAACAACACAATAGCTACTGGCATATGAATTAGTCACTATAAGCAGGACAACAGAGACAACTATACTATAAGCAAACCGCTCTACCTGTTTTGGCTAATAATGGTTTCTGGAGTTCCCAAGTCTAATTCCTATTACTTTTATTTGCCTAAAAGTATCTCTAATAAAATAATATAATTATATGAAATGATAAATGAATTTAATATTGGATCTTAATAATTCAGTCCAACAATGCCACCAAAATGAGCTTTTAAAACACAGAAACTGCTAATGTGCCTCATTTGTTAAAGCCCCTCAGGACCTTCCCCAATACCTCATATCTGGTAGGCTCTGAAGCAATTCCTTCCATACCATTTACTAGTTCTGTGACCTTGAGAAAGTTAATTAATACAAACTTCAGTTTTCTTATTTGTAAAAGAGTGATTACTCCTTAAAGAGCTGTAAGGATTAAGAAGATACCGTAACAAAGCACCATTGTAAGGAATTCAGTGTTAACTAATGTTATGGTTAGGAAAGTTCAAACTCTTTATTATGCTAGATAAGTGCTCCTTGATTTGGCAAATTCCTGCTTAAAACTTCTCCATTGCCTAATCCATGCTAAATGATCATATTTACAGCACCTTACCAAGACTACCTGGCATTCTTCCACACTCATAGGTTTCAGCCATACTCATCAACCTATTGTTGCCAGCAATCAGCTTCCACCAAAACCTCTACCCTTGGAGGTTAAGTGTCCTCCCAACTTTTAAGGCCAAGTTTAAGAATAATAGCTTCTCTAAGAGGTCTTTCCTTTCCTACATACCTCTAAACTTAATTTGCCACTCACTTTCTTTTCCCCCAGTGTACGCTGCATCAATCTAGTCAACATTCTGCTGTACACATGTTATAAAGAAAGCAGGACCTGTGTCTTTCATCTCTGCATATCCTAAAGCACCTACTATAGCACTTAGCACTCTATAGAAACTCAACAAGTACTTGTAGAAGATATAGTTGACTATTTAACACATTTAGTGTTTTTCAAATTTTCCCCTAGTAATAATTTGAGAAAAGAAACAAATTTCCACAGAAATCTATGAATACACCTAAAACAACCTGATTCAAACATAAATTTCTTAAGTTTCTGCATTTCTCTTAAAACTTATGAGAATTTTTTATTCTATTCCAGGACAGATCTGCATGTGTTTTAATCCAGAATACCAACCAACCATCCCTGCCAAGTTAATTATTACAAGGGGAATAGACCTAAGACTCATGAGTCTAGCAATGCAGGGAAGTAAGCTAATAGCAACACTGGAGAGATGATGCATAATATATATACTGTTAAATAAAAGAAAAATACCTATGCTTGTTAGGAAAAATTGTGGGTAAAACTAAAAGGAAGAACTTGTAGAAGTCTTTGTTCCCCAAAGGAATAAGCAGAATTTGAATGGAATGGAACAAGAGCAAGAGATTCTAAATAAAGCTTCAAATTCACAATGAAAATGTTCTCAAAATGTGTATTTGAACTAAACTTGAAAGACTAAGGATCAGAATCTATTGAGATAATAAAAAGATAAAGGAAGTTTTAGCAATATCTAAATGTAAAGAGACAGCATATTTACCCGTGCAGGTAACAGGAAAATAGATATTTGCCTGTGCAAAGTCAGAATGTTATTTGAGGCTGACTCTCAATCTGCTTAACATCTTTGCAGAGTTCTCTTAAGCTTTTTCACACTCTTTCTCTCCCTTATTTTAACAGACCATCATCACTCTCTGCTTTCTAGGCTCATCTTAGTGTAGTTTCAAAGAGCAAAAATAGCTCTTTTTGGCTTTTAGTCTGAGAATTTCTATTTTTAAAGATTGCAGAAATGTCTCTAGGCTCTAAAGCAACAATGCTAGACAACCTTGTTAATTGACCACTAATCTATAATATTAACATCAAGTGGGGGGGGGGGAGTACTAATTCAGAAATTTTATATACTTTTATTTATTTTTTTAATTTTATATACTTTTAAACATAAACCTATCACCTTCTCAAAGTTCTTTACACTTAAATAAAATCTATAAAATATTCTGAACCATATTCTAACCCAGGAGTTGGCAAACTTCTATAAAGGGTAAGATAACTATTTTAATTTTGTTGGTCAAAGATACAATATAGAAGTCTGTTACAACAGCTTAACTCTGCTGTTGTGGCAAATTTTCACATGCCTCAAAGTATTATTTTTATCTTTCAACTATATACAAATATAAAACATACCTAGCTCATACAAAAACGAGTAGATATGGCCTATTGCCTATAGCTAGCTAACCTCTATTCTATTCTAAGACAGACTTGGAAACTGATGATCTTACTAAGAAGTATTTTCCTATTCTCAAGGAAAAACACATATAAAAGGATATAAGAGTATATACAAATGAGCCCAGTTTTAGAGAAAAAGTATGTGTGTATATAATGCATGTATGTATACCTATTCATCTACTCATGCATAAAGCATAAGAACAACCAACACAATTATATCAAAATGTCAATAGTAGAATAAAGGGGAAGTTTTAGTCTTTTTTTATGAATGCTTTTATTTTCCAAATCTACAATAAACATAATACTTCTATAATTAAAAAAAATTAAACAAATAAAATTCTGACTTTTGACATAAAGTTTTATGACTTAAAATACTGATCTTATACATACCTTTGAGGGTTCGCACCTGGTTCTGCTTGAGTACAGAGCTTAAGTAATGAGGAGATAAAGAGCCACTGAAAAAAGAAAGGTAAGACAAATATGTTTGCCTTCTTCCAGAATTTAGTCACAAGACCAACTAATTTGTACAATAAAACCAAACTATTTTTACGTTTTTCTTTGCTAATATTATCATGTGTAGGGAGAAGTTACCAAAGCAGAAAAGAGCATAAGTACCAAGATTAAATCACTATTATTTGGATATTCTTAGGCAAAATAATTAATCTTTTAGTTTCTTCCTATCTAAAACAGGAATAATTTGACATAGGATTGCTGTGATGACATAGGATTGCTCCATGCATTTTAAATGCATGGAGCATTAGATAATACAGCTACTATTTGATTTTGGACTGATGCTTAAGTTTGACTGGATATTAATATAGGTGTTAACATATATGAAAGCTTTCATCAAGACAATTGTTTAAGGAGGACTGTATGGTAGTGATGGAAAACACGTAAGTTCCTGATATTATCAATAAACATCAATGTCAAATTAAACTTCATATGTTCATGAAAAGAAATTAGCAGTTTTTTTAAAATTCCAAATACTAAAACATTTTGGAACAAACTATTTCTGTTCTTTGGAATTTGTAGTAGCATTAAAAAATCCCATTCTGCTAATTAAATTAACAATCTATTTTCTATTCACAGTTTTAGACATCCTGTATCTTTCTCTTCCTTAGCCTTACCAATTATGACATGAAAGGGCTACATAAAGGTATGTCAGATGGAATTGTCTTTTTGCAAAATAATGAAAAAGAAAAATGTTTTTAAAAATAAGGGGATGTTTTAAAGTAAAAAATTAAAATATGTAGTCATTATTTTCAAGCCACAAAACCATCTTTATTTAAAATCTAAGCAAATGATAAAGCAAACAAATATAAACATGAAAACATATCAAAGGCACAGTTGTGTATTTTTGATGGTGTATTTGTCAATTCTCTTTTGATCTTCAACTGAAAATTAGCATACTCAAATAAAATAAATATGTGACCATGAGCAGAACTTACAATAGTTTCTATGTTACCATTTTTTACTAGACTATCTCCCCATTTCCCTCTGTATTTCAGTTACAACCAATCCTCTAAAAGTTATCTAGTATTACTTTAAAAAATTAACCACTACAAGAAGTACTGATAATTGTTACAGCTGGGAGTTCATGACAACCTTTTCCCTACTTATAGGTATTCCTGAAAATTTCCACTTGTTATTTTAAAAGCTTTTGAAATTTTTCAAGAAGCAAATGAATCATAGATAACCCCTAAAAGTGCCTTGACCAAATCTGGCATTTTCAGCTTGAATACATATATAGTCAAAATTTTATAAAAGATTTTGATAATTTTTTAGGATAAGGAAATAAAATCAAAGAGGTCATATCATTTACATTAATAGAGTTGACTGAAAGCTATACGGATCAATAGGAATCAGAGTTTGAAAGCAAAAACTGAGGAAATACATTATAATCATACTTACCATCAAAAACAAGGTAAATTTTAAAAAGCCAAAGCATTATTTTACTTGTCAAACATTTTATTTGGCTTGACTACATTTCCCAGAAATTATGTTCTAACTATCAAATTTTTGTTTCCTAGTAACAAAAGTTAGACTATAAATAAAAAGGTCTTAGGCTAATGTCTTATTCATTAATATTCCCCTATGCAATAAAGAAACAAAATAATCCTAACAGCTTTGTTAAAAAGTTTCTCCATCTCAACAATGAAATCTTATAAATCACTACTGACACTTATACAGACAATCCTATACCTTTGTGGAGATGCAGGAGGGGTGTAAAATGTTAAAGCTGAGGAAAAAGGTTGCTTCTTCAGTGCCTGCATAAGATTGGGTTTATATTCTGGATCAACACACCATAAGGAACCTTTTCCATTAACCTAGAATAAAATATGCAAGAATTAATAACCTAGAACTTTAAGAAATATACCTGAATGTTTTAAATAAATGTTTAAGGGAGGAAAATACCCCTATGGCACATTTTGATTACAATGCAAAAGATGAAGTAAACTTGTTACCCATGCATGATACGATGAAGACCCCTGAAAAGAAGACTGTGTTCTCATCTCCAGCTCTTCCAAAGCTAACTAACCTCTATCTACCTGGGCCATTATCCTTCATGGTAAGGTAGGCATAGTGATGGTACCTATTGATTGATTGTTATATGGATTAAGTACAATGCTCTCTGCACAGTATCTGGCACATTCAAGCCACAAGACTGTACAATTCCAGGATATCATAACCTGTAAGAATGATATTATTCTAAGTTGTGCAGTCAACAGCATGGGGGGCTGTACAAGGTCAACCTCAACATGCTAAGCAGTCAAAAAATATTAGCCATTAATATTACTTCTATAGATAAACAAAGAATAAAAGGGAAAATTCAAATTTCTATGCAGTATCATCTCCCTAAAAGCGATAAACGATATAAAATGAGGCAAAGAATTTTTATGTATTAATGGCATTAACACTAGTGTTTTACATCCCTTTTTAAAACAGACTTAAATTTAAAAAGCAAACTATTTAAAGAACAACATGGCAAATGTCTCAGAGTAATAAGACAACAACTGAGGTATGAAAATGACTCCTGTAAAACTTAAAAAAAGGAAAGAAATAGATCAAGCTCCCTGAAGAATGCAAAGTTAACAATAACTGAGGAGCTTCTAGATAATATGGCAATAAACACACAAGCCAAGATTCCACAGAAATAATCAACAGAATCTAAAAATGAAAGCATTTGTATCATTATTGAAACCTAGAGAAACCATAAACAATACTACATGCTAAAATTGCAAGTGAAAGGTGACTGAAGAAGGATTTCTCTGATCCACAGTTCCCTAATATGCAGGAATAGCTTGAAGACAACTAAAGAATCTTATTAATATTATCTAACATGCAGAGGAAAGATCTTCAAATAGGTTTTATAAATGCTATGTATTTTATCTCCCTTCTGCTACATTAGCAGATTAAGTTTTACAATTAGACCTGTTTTATGTAGTTTCCCAAAGTTTTGACACAGATCCTCTTTCCCCCAAGTAACATTTGAGGAGTTAGTGTTCTGTGAAACACCTAGGAGTAAAACTAACACAATGAATTCTTGTAGAATATACTTTCCAAATATTAATTGGAAAAAATGGCAATCACTGATTAGGTCATGAAGAAAAATAAATCCCCTCTTAAAAATGTCAATTTTAGGGAGCCTCCCTAGTGTCCTAGGGGTGAATTAAGTCTCAGCACTACTACTGCTGCGTACTATGGCCCAAAGTTCAATCCCCAGCCTGGAAACTAATCCACATGGCGCAGCAGACCTCTCCTGTCTTGCCTGCTGCTCCCCTCAGCAGTGTATTTCAGTAGATCCGCCTGTTCTGCTCCCTAATCTGCTTTAGGTGAATCCTCTCATTCCCCACACCTCTGGCCTACACCCCAGTTCTTCTACGCCAAAAAAGGGTCAATTTTAGATTGTAATGCAAAAGGAAAAAATTAACAATCGCAACAATAACAAAATTCTCTGAGCACTTAAAAAATTTTATAAACACTCTTACTAAAAAGATATCCAAATCACAGTTAGAGGTTATCTCGCAAACAAAGGATATAAAAAAACTAAATAGAAGTAGCCAAAGCTCTACATAAAGGCAAATTTATATACTTTTCCCCCATTCTTTAATCAGAATTAAAGCATCTAAAATGACCTCTTGGGTGAGGAAAAGTATGGCAATTTGAGTGCAAAGCAGTTTTTTTTTTTTTTTAATAGAGGCATGTTTTATTTATTTATTTGTTTGTTTGTTTTGTTTATACATGCACTGGGTACAGTCAGAAGCGCGGGAGGGTGAGAGAATTCACCAGAGCCAGAGCGGGGAGCAGAGCAGGCAGAAAGACCGAAGCACACTGCTGAGGGGAGCAGCGGGCGGCAGGAGAGGTCTGCGCGCCATGTGGGACCCTCCTCAGGTGGCCGGGGAGCAGCCGGGGATAGAACCGTCGCCGCAGAGGTCGCCGGCAGCTTCACAACCCAGCGCTCAACCGCTGCGCCACTGGGGAGGCCCACAAAGCAGTTTTTAACATCTTGCAACTTAAATGTATAGGAAAAGAAAAACAATGAGTGTTGTGTCACTCTGTAATATAGAAAGAAACAAACCACACAATTAAGTGAAACTTTTTCTGGCCTTCAGAAGCAGGAGATTATATGAACTATAATAACAAGTATTTGAAATTTTGACACCACCCTCTCCCTATCCCAGGAAGTCAAGTTTTACTAATGTATTTTGGGATTAAGTAATGAAACTTCTTAAATAAGATGCATGTGCAGTCACTTGGACCAATTAATAAATGAGTTTTGATGACAGAGAAATAAAACTGTAAAATGCTAGTAACACAGCATTTGTCCTCAAATCCATTTCGTTTCATACAGAAAAGAAATACATGAAAATACTTTTCATATATTGATAAGACAATTATTTTAAAAATTCTAGTCATAATGCTATCTTGTTATTACTGAGATTACACCCCCTAAAAACTGTTTAGTTCAAGTCTACCTTTTAAATTCTATTGTTAAAGAATTGTAAATTGTTTTGATCATAGAATTGCTATTTCCTTGAAATAGCAAATTGGAACACACAGTTTTAGGGCAGTATCTTGAGTAAGGTCTCCAAATAACAGTCTGGTTTATGTTACTATGTCAATACTTCCTTTCACTGGTTCTGTCATAAACTAACAGTAAGAAGAGAAGAAACCATGTTATTTGCTAATCTATGTTTTAGAGTCTACAGCAAAAAGGAATTTAGTTTGAATTAACTCATTTAAACTTTGCCTTTAATTATTGTGCTCAGATGACAGAACACAGGGCCTGATGGCACAAAGGGTTAAGCACAGCACTATGAAGCTATCCGCAGCCTCTGAGTTCGATTCCTGGCTGGCCAGGGAGTAACCCACATGGCGCAGCAGACCTCTCCTGTCTTGCCTGCTGCTCCCCTCAGCAGTGAATTTCAGTCAGTCTGCCTGTTCTATTCCCCACTCTGTCTCTGGTGAATCCTCTCATCCTCTGCATCTCTGGCCTGTACTCCAATTCTTGTATGCGTAAATAAATAAATTTTTAAAAAAGATGACAGAACACAAATAATAGCTTTAGAATTTAATTATTAATTTTAAACTAAATTTGCCTATAACAAGGTAAATCTCTGTGCAATGGAAACAGGGAACATGCATTCTCTCATTTATTATTTTGCATTTTGGAACTCTTGGGTGTCTGGATTTATTTGGTAAAGAATCACTGGAGGTTATGAAGAAGTGAAGAACATACCAAGAGCTAAACTTTAAGATGATTTACTTTAATCTAAGTTGTGAAGAACACACTGAGAGAAGAGACAACAATCACTATTCCTGAAATGTTTTTAGGTACTTTCCTTGTACATTTTAATAGTTTCTCCCCCTTGACTACCTTTACAGTGGCTTTTAGCATCACTGAGTTAAAAGAATAAACTATTGAAATGTGCACTCAAAACTTTTGTTTATAGCATTAACTTTTATTAATCATTAGCATGACTTCTTTTTCTAGGATTTAGCTATTGAAACAAATCACCACTATGCAAGCAAATGCGTAGATCAAAATTGTACTGAATATTCTCATTTTTAGACTTCCAAGCTAAAATTTCACAGTATGTTTTAGTTGGGCATTATAGAAAATTAGGGAAGTAGATATTAGGTTTGGATGTTAATGCTTAAAACAAAAATTAGGCCAAAGCAAATTAAAAAAAAAAAAACAACCCATATCTAACTCTTGTAAAACTTAAAATTCTGAGGCAGACAAATACTAAGATAAATTCTGTCTTTTGAGAGTACTAACTATACTACAGAGGGAAAAAATCTTATCACAAGTTATACCAATATGCTGGGTACCATCACCAAGGTCTAGGTCTAGTTTGACCTAGACCTTGCCATCTTGTCTTTTTTTTTAAGATTTTCATCTAGATAAGTTATTCATTAAAAGAGTACTCTCAAAGTTGCCAAATTCAATGGCAACATTTAATGGAAGAATATCTTACTTGCTCCCACAGATTGTAAGAGAAATGCTATCACTCTGAGGCACTGACTAGAGTATTTCATAAATTAAAAAGAAAAAAATCAACAAGATTCTTAATCCTACTTTCTGTCAAAATTTCATTTATTTAAGCATAGCGGTCCACCCCTTGATTTCTGTGAAGAACATCACCTATTAGTTCCTTCCTAGCTTGTCATATGGTGAGTTTGCTAACTTTCATTCCAACATAATCTAATTATGTTGGAATGCATTTATCCACATGTTCTTTATTACCTTTCTTTCTCTTTATCAAAATCCTCCTGTACTCAGACCTATTCTTTCCCCTCACTCACTGGCTCTCACTTTCTTTATCCCTTTCTTTCTCTGAGCATTTAAAAACATTCTGATTAATTATATGTAAATAATGCACATACTTAAAAATTATGAACCAATTCCTTTTGATCACTACCACAAATAATACCACACAGGGCACATTATTCTGCAACTTTTATTATAAACAGTGTCACAGTGATTCTTCATCTCTTTGCATGCAATAATGAATGTTACATTAGAGGGGAAATCAAAATATGATCCACTATAGCAAAGGATAGGCACATTTCTAATTTTAATAACTTCTACCAAGTTGTCCTCAAGAATGGTATACTAATTTACCTCATCAATGAAACTGATATTTATTTCCCTATGCCCTCATCTAATTTGATATTATCAAACACTGAAAATTTTTTACATTATATGAGTGAAAATCAGTTTCTTATTTTTTTAATTTGTATTTCCCTAATTAGTGAGCATCTTTGCCTATTTTTTGGTTATATATATTTCTGCCTCTGAATTGCCTGTTCATATTCTTATCCATTTTTCTTTTTTTAAGGATTTATTTATTTATGCATACAAGAGCTGGGGTACAGGCCAGAGATGCGGGGGGGGTGAGAGGATTCACCAGGAACAGAGTGGGGAATAGAACAGGCAGATTGACTGAAATACACTGCTGAGGGGAGCAGCGGGTGAGTAAGGAGGTCTGCTGCGCCATGTGGGTTGCTCCCTGGCCGGCCGGGGATCGAACTCATGCTGCAAAGGCTGCGCGGATAGCTACACAGTGTGGTGTTTAACCCCTTGTGACACCAGGGAGGCCCCCTCTTGTCCATTTTTCTAATAGGCTTTCTTTCACATATTGAATTATGTTAAGTTTCTTACATACAGTGGTGTGCTACTGATTGTAAACATATGTTCTCAACTCCACATTTAAGGACATAATACTGACACAATGAAACTGGTCACAACAAAATATTTGTATCATGGATACCTGCAAAAGCTTTACTTCCATGCACAACTAATTGTTAAACATTTGCCAGCATACTACTGCTCATGTATTTAAAATTCTAATCCTTTTGTTGTTACTTGTCTTGCTGACATTTTAGTCAATTATTTCCAATTTTCCTGCAACACTTGACACTGTTGCTCATTCACACACTTACCTTCCTTGGCTTCCATCATACCATACTTCCCTCAATTCTTCTACTCAAAACCAAATTTAAAGTTTTAGTATCACTGTATCACTTCTATTACTGTATTGTATTTCTAAATACCTAGTAGATAGTTCCCCTTTTATATCCCACTGTAAGTGTAAACACAATAGGTCTAAAGTTAGAAAAATGTTAGCTATAATTGAAAAATAAAATCTAATAATATATGTTAGAAAAGAATTCCAAAATTCCAGCACTTTCAGCCATCTGTAAGGAAAACAGTCTGGGGCTGGGAGAATCTTTTTCCAAAATGGCTGACTCACCTAGTTATTGGACAGGAGACCTTATTTTCTCGTTGATGGGCCTTTTAAAAGGGCTGTAAACATGTCTATGTAATGTAGGGCTGACTTCTCATAGTTACCCAAGAATTCAAGATGGATACCATAATGTCTTTTACGACCTAATCTCAAATCATTTCCAAAATATCCTGTTAGTTACACAAGCCGACTCTACTCAGTTATTAGAGGGAATTCTATACTGCAATTATAAGACACAGACTGTCAGAGTGAATAAAAATAATATAATATATTGATATTGTGATAGGAACACTTTATAAAAACTGAAAGACTAGAACATTAAAAAAACCTAATGTTATATACATAATTCTGCTAGATTTATAGCAACACTGAAGGAATTTTAAAACATGGGCCTCCCTGGTAGGGCAGGGATTAAGTCTCAGTACCATCAGTCTATAGCCAGCCACTGCAGACTGTGGCTTGAGTTTGATCCCTGGCCAGGGAGCTAACCCAACATGGTGCAGCAGTGTATTTTCAGTAGATCTGCCTGTTCTATTCTCCACTGTCTCTAGTAAATCTTTATCACCCCTGTCCATCCCCCCCCCCCCGTACCTCTGGCCTACACCCCAGTTCTGGTATAGGTAAATAAATAAGTCTTAAAAAAAAAAAGTTAAACATCTCAAATGAAAGCAAATGATAAATTATAATTAAACTTAAGCTGAAGTAAACCAGCTTAACTACTTTTAATCTTCCATATATTTTAATGGAAATACATACTTTTAATCTTACTACCCTAAATTTTTAGGACTCCATGTTATTCTTCCCAAATACAGCAAGGTTCATAAATACTGACCTTGCCATGGCTTCTTTCCACTTTCTGAAAACATTTATTCAGGGACAGATTATGGCGAACAGAATTCTTCCAGCCCGTTGGTGCAGTAGCAAAATATGGAAAACGATCCAAAATCCAGCTATAAATTTCTTTGACAGGCAAACATTTATTAGGAGAGTGCTCAATAGCCATATAAATGAGAAGACTAAAAGAGTATGGGGGTTTTGAAGTTGCTGACTTTTTTTCTGGATTCTGGTAGCAAGATGGTCCAAATGATGGCACTTCATCTCCCTCTATGTCATACAATGGACTAACAATTGGAAGGCCTTCACTTCCAAAGCTGAAGTTTGTTAGAAGATTTGTACTTTCATGAAGCCAATTCAAGTTAGTAAGTTCATCGTCTGCTGAATCACTGTCCACTAGAGAGGCTTTTAGTCTGGCAGCATCAACAGCTTCAGGTAAGCTTCCCATTTTGTAAATCTGGCTTAATCCTGCAACTTTTTCAGTTCCTGGAGTTTCAGCTCTCTTTTCTGGAGTCATTCCAATTACTGGACCCATTTACTCTTACAATCCTGCAACAAAGGAAACAACTATCAATCAATGTAATACTTAAGATTCTTAAGCTCATGGAAAAGAAGTATTTAAATATCCTCAAATTAAAGAAATTTTGCCATTATCTCACATAGTATTTAAGCACAATATATTTGTAACAAAGATATTAAAGGTTACAAGAAACAAAACTTATTTCATAATATTTTAAATGACTACAAATAAAATGCAGTGTTATAACACCATACATAGGTAACATTAACAAAATTAAACATATTTTGAATACTTACCGACGTTCCTAGCCACAGTAACTGCCTAATGATAACTATTGTCATCAAAAATGAACAGACTACTTCTTTGAATTATAAGACTATAATCTATCCATTTTAAAGATCTATGACTTTACTATAATAGTCACATATGGCTTAATACTGAAAATAACCAAATTTAAAATAATGCTTAAATAATAATTCCAAATAAACCTTTTCCTCAAATCTAAAATATTTACTAGGAAGTGATAAACCATTATTAATATTCTTACAGTATGTCATATGAAAAAGATAAATTTCTTATTGACTAACTTCATTATCAGCAAAATTATATTTTACACTAAATTTATTACTTCTTTTGTAAATTTTAGTATTTTTAACTCTACATTTTATATCATCCATCAAGTACTGACAACGAAAGGCAGACATTCTCTTTGTAAAGTTAGAAATTGTCACAGTATTTTCAAAAAGGAGGAAAAAAGCTTTCAACTATCCTTTTTATTTTTATTTTCTCAAATAACTTTTGCTATGCTTCAAAGTTCAAAAAACTTATCATGAGAAAAAACTGACGAAAAGGAAATCTACAGAATGAATGTGCTGTTTAATTCATTCTCAGTGGTTCATAAAGGTAACCCATTTCTGAAATTAGTGAAAAAACTTCATCTTCCATTATCTTATTCATCCTACCCATGCTTATATAACTGAAATAAGAGAAATACATCAAGTTTTATTTTACTTAGAATATAGCTGGCAGGTTACTCTGAGAATTATAAAAACTGGTTAATTTTATTTTATTTTATTAAAAGATTTATTTATTTATTTATTTATTTATTTATTTATTTATTTATTTATTTATTTATACAAACACTGGGTACAGTCAAATGAAGAGCTGTAGGGCCTCCCAGGTAGCACAAGGGGTTAAACACAGCACTGTAAAGCTATCTGCAGCCTCTGCAGCATGAAAGCGATCCTGGGCTGGCCAGGGAGCTACCCACATGGTGCAGCAGACCTCTCATGTCTTGCCTGCTGTTCCCCTCAGCAGTGTGTTTCAGTCAGACTGCCTGTTATGTGCCCCACTCTGTCTTTGGTGAATACTCTAACTCCCCGCAGCTCTGGCCTGTATTCTGTTCTTGTATGGCTCTGTTCTTGTATGCATGAATAAAAAAATCTTTAAAAGAAATAAATGGAGGGCCTCCCTGGTGGCGCAGGCGGTTGAGCGCTGCACTGTGAAGCTGTCCGCAGCTTCTCCAGCGTGGGTTCGATCCCGGCGGCTGGTGAGAATCCCACATGGCGTAGCAGACTTCTCCTGTCTCACCCACTGCTCCCCTCAACAATGTATTTTGTCAGTCTGCCTGTTCTGTTCCTGGCTCTGTCTCCGGTAAATCCTCACACCCACCACACTTCTGGCCTATACCCTGATTCTTGTATAAAGAAGTAAATCTTTAAAAAAAAATTAAAAATAAAATAAATGGAAACTGTATATGGACTGTGGCAATTATTAGTAGCTGTAGTCTCAGAGCACTCAATTATCAATAGCATTAGCTAATATTTTGGAAGACAGCTATGTGCTAAGCACCATATACCATATCTCAGCTAACCATCAGTTAAACCCTACAAAGTAGACACTATTATTAATGCAATTTTACAGATGAGGAAAATGATTTGAAGAGGTTAATCATTCTATTTGGGGTTGCTTGGCTAGCAATAGGAAACACCAGAATTTAAACCCAGGCCAAATGACTTCAGAACCAAAACTCTAGCCACCACATTATCCTGGCAACAATATGTACACATCATCTATGAATACCAATGACTTCCATAAAATCTTGGCACTGTTCTCTCTACATTCAGTTCCTATCTCACAAACACCTCTATCTGTGACTTGACACACCAATACAATACAAAAAAGAAGAGATTAAGCTGTTACAAATTTAGTTTCCATTTAACCAATTATGAAGCCCACATATACATAAACATATGCATTTGTGCATATATGTGCACACAATATATTTCAAAGTTGACATCCTCTCCTATGTAACTGATTAAATAATTCACCTTACTACCAAAATCTCTCTAGCCATAAAGAATTTTCAAAATGTGATGGATGCGAATTGGTTGAATAAAATTTTGCTTTCTTAAAAATAAAACAAACACTTAGCGCTCAGAGTCCAAAAAGGGAATGGCTCATTTCTAATGGTCCACGATTGTCTTTTCATCTAATATCTTTGTTTATCTTTAATTACTTATAGAAATTAGAAAATACCAAATAGCAGTGGCTAAAATTTACTGAGATTTTACTAATTACAGACATTATAGGGTTTTAAATGCATCATCTTCACTATAGGGTTACTACGCAGTCCAAGTGTGGTCCTTTCTTTCCAACTATAAATTCCATGAGGGGTAAGACTTTTGTGTTTTTAATGAATCTGAACAAAATGTGGGGCAAACGTAGTCACTCAAATAAAATTATTTCAAACTGAAATGAACTTATAATCAACATATATGTTTACTCTGTACCAAGTGCAATGTTACCTGCCTTTAAGAGACTTTAGTTTGGAAACAAATCCTTAATTCTAGTAAACAACCTTACTGATAACTATCAGAAAACTGAAATTCACTGTTATAAATAAGGAAATGGAAGTGAAGTAAGCCACTTGCCGAAGGTTCTAAAACTAATAAAAAAAATACAGTCAAAATTATAAACCATTAGCATCTACTTTAGTGTCTTGAAAAACTTATAATTTTAGCAATTCTACTTAAAAGAAACAAACAATAAGTTGTACTAATGTAACATTGTTATTATCAAAATTTAATTTAGATGGTTGCAAATGTATGTTATTCCTCTGAATTACAAGTTTGGAATAAAATCTCATTATTTTAGGATGTTAAACATTATTATGGCAACAAAATATGTCAAAGATTACACAAAGTGTACAACCAAACAATGTTAAAAAATCAAGTACTCACATTAAAGGGCTGATGTTGTCTTAGAAAGGTTTGAACTGTTACTGTATATTCAAGGAGAAAAAAAGAGTAGTTTCTAAGCAGTCCTTTCAGAACACTTAGAACATGATCCCCTTAGAATACTAAGTCGACCACAATAGGCAAATGATCTTTTCACACAAATAAGTATATAAATAGCAAGCAAATATACTAGAAAATATTTGACTTAATGATCAAAGAAATAGAAAGCAAAACAAAAATATCACAAAATGTGGTATTTAATATAATATACTCCCAGCATAGTACCTGGGATGTAGTAAGCACAAATATTAGTAATAAAAATAACATCTGTATTTGCCAAAATTAGCAATGGTTTAAAACAGGCACATGTGCACACACACACACACAGACACACACGTGCAGTTTATTCAAGAATTATGAAATAAAATATTTTAACAACTTATTTACCTTTTTACAGAAAAATAACTAAAATATCTATACAATCTAATATGTAGTAGTCATTAAAAAATAGTCTTGAACATCTTTACAGACACATCACCCAAAGCAGTGATAGTGAAGGCAAAGATAAACAGCTGGGACTACATCAAATTAAAGAGCTTCTGCACAGCAAAAGAGACAATAACAAAAACTAAAAGAAACCCCGCCAACTGGGAGAACATTTTTGCACACAACACTAATGATAAAGGACTGATCACAAAAATCTGCAAAGAGCTGATGAGACTCAACAACAACAAAGAAAATAATCCAGTGAAAAAATGGGCAGAAGAGCTAAAAAGAAACTTCTCTGAAGAGGAAATGCAAATGGCCAACAGGCATATGAAAAAATGTTCACCATCACTCGTAATCAGGAAAATGCAAATCAAAACTACCATGAGATACCATCTAACACCAGTGAGAATGGCACATATTAAAAAAACTAGCAACAACAAATGTTGGCGAGGTTGTGGAGAAAAAGGAACTCTCTTGCACTGTTGGTGGGAGTGCAAACTGGTCCAACCACTATGGAGAGCTGTGTGGAGATTTCTGGACCTACTAAACATAGAGCTTCCATATGATCCAGAAATTCCACTCCTAGGTATTTACCCAAAGGACACAGAAACATCAACTCCAAAGAGCACCTGCACCCCTATGTTTATAGCAGCACTGTTTACAATAGCTAAGCTTTGGAATCAACCCAAATGCCCAAAAATAGATGACTGGATCAAGAAGATGTGGTACATATACACCATGGAATATTACTCAGCATTCAAAAAAGATAAACACATGCAATTTGCAGCAACATGGATGGCGCTGGAAGGGATCATGCTCAGCGAAATAAGCCAGAAAGAAAAAGAAAAATATCAGATGGTCTCACTCATAGCAGGAATCTAGAAAACTTAAATAAGGGACCAGGAAAATGAATATCTATAAGAAAGTGAAAATCATAATCAACAAACAACTATGAACCAGAGACACTTTATGAGGGGAGGGGGGCAGGGGGAGGGATTGGGGTCAAAATAAGGGGGTTGCAATTGTTTGGGGAATATAAAAATAAAAAAATTAAAATTAAAAAAAAATAGTTAAAAAAAAAATAGTCTTGAAGACCGTGAAGTAAACAAAAAAGCTGGTCAAAAAGGAGAAAATATGCAAAAAGTAAACAATCATGTATATTGGAAACTTGGTACTTTTCTTTGCTTTTTTATTGCCCAGGTTTATTTTTCTTTTCTTTTTATTTTTTTAAAGGTACTTTTTTTTAAAAGATTTATTTTATTTATATAAGAACCGGGGTACAGGCTAGATGCGCAGGAGGGTGAGAGGATTCACCAGAGACAGAGCGGGGAACAGAACAGGCAGACTGATGAAATATATTGCTGAGGGAAGCAGTGGGCGAGACAGAAAACGTCTGCTAGCCATGTGGGTTGCTCCAAGGCAGGTGGGGATCGAACCGGCACTGCGGAGGCTGCCGACAGCTTCACAGCACTGTGCTCAACCACCTGCACCACCAGAGAGGCCCTGCCCAGGTTTATTTTTTAATGTTAAAACAGTAAATGCAAGGGGGAAAAGGCGGTACTAAATTATTTTTAGTTGTAGTACTTCCATTTTACAAAAAATCGATCAGAAAAAGCTCATGGAAGTATCAAAGGACTCAAGTCAAAAAAGGAACCCACCTCTTATATTCTTATTACAGCCTTATACTGTTACCAAGTTTTTTTGTAACCCAATTAGTGCAGAGTTATACAGGGGTAATAATTCTAGTACAATGTGAAAATCACACTGGTTTATCTAGTCCATGTTTCTGTACTACTAAATAACAACAGTTGAATCCAAAATAGGCAAACAGCGGAAAGGAAGGAGCTACTGAAAACACAATACTGTACACAAGTCTCATTCAATGCATGTTCTTTATCAACAGTTTGACCACATGCATTTTCTTTATGAGCTCTTCTCTCCAAATCTATACATTTTACCCTGGCCTCCAACCCTGTAGCTTCAACCTTCCATGTGAATTCTTCCATCAAGCTACTTTCATTTTTTTTTCTTTTTAATCCTAAATTAACTGTAGTATTTCTTTAGTTGTAACAACTATAACATCCTTTTAAATACTCTAGTATTCTCACTAAGATCTATTTATGTTAGTGTTCTGGTTACAAAGTTTCATGTTTCGGGTGAGTTGACCCTCAGCTGTGCAGAATTTTAATGTTTTCAGGAACATGTAGTATGAAATGTAATAGAAAGGCCTATATATTTCACACCAAAATTCAAGAAAACTTGTTTTTATGTATTTACTTTCATGAGAAACTACTTCTTAAAATGAACTGAAACCTTTCAGTAGCAGATCATTAATAACGTACACAGAAGTTTGCTTTACAAAGCAAAATGAGTAAAGAAATCTGGGCTAGTGCTGTGATATTTCCATACATTAACCTTTTAAGAAAAATACTTCAAAAACCACATATAATAGTTACACATAATAAATGTCACTCAAAATAAGTGTTTAAGGCCAAGAAAATATGATGTGAGACTTGAAAAATGTACTTTAATTTCCTAGGAATGTGAGTAGCATAACCTTAGTAATGGACATATAGTAAAAGCCAATTTCTAAAATTAAGACATTGTTACCCAAAAAAGTAGGTAACGTACAAGACAGTTTAACCAAGTAAACATCTGTGGTATGATTCCAAATCTACATTTCAAGAAAGAACAGAATTTCTTCTCTCAACAATTTGAAAAGTAGAGAGTTCAAATAAACTCAGTATACTAACTATGGGACTCTTTCATAGACACTCACTGGATAATGGCCAGGATGGCAGTATCTTTAGCAGAAGGCTCAGGATTTAAAAGTACCATTTTTGTCCCCATGGCTGTGCATCTCCCAAAGGTATCTAACAGAGATCTAGATATCTGCATATCATGTTCATGTTATACTGATATTCTACCATAGGATAAGAAAAACAAAATTTTATATTGGAATTCTCAAGTCATTTCCCAAAGTGATGAAGAATATTGCTGCTTAATAAGAATTACAGGAAATGCTTTACCAAGACTAAATAAGAGAAGGGATATTAAGTCACAGAATTTTCAGTATTATCCAAAATATAAGCTGTTGCATTGCAGGGTATTAGAGGTTTAACTAAGAGCTTCCCTCTCCCCCAGATTTTGGTTATAATTGCTCAGATTTTTTAAATTTATTTTGCCCATTTAAAAAAACTGATTATATTAAGATTAAGCAAATTTTTTTCTTTATAATTTTAACATGTTAGGATCCTTAAACATCATATTATTTAGCATTCCATGTTTTTAATCATATAAAATTACTAATGATTTATAATGAATTATACAATTATATTCTGGAACTCATCCCCCCAACCCATGCCCCCCATACATCAAACTGGTTATTATTTTCAATAATTCATTCACTTTCACAGGTAACTAATATTCCATTTTATGAATATGCCACAATTTATCACAATCTTAAGCACTGTTTGTGTTTAGGGTTATTACAACAGTAATATTGCTGTGACATCCTTGTTTCCTGATCCCAGACACCCACAAAGTCATGAAAACAGCAGCTCACTTGACTTGGCAGATACCTTCAAGGTTATAGCTTCAGTACTCAATTTACCTCACTGGGTTTCCAATTAGTTTTAGCTTTAGTTTTCTTTACTTTTGTGCCACTGCACTTATATGTCCATTTTATTTGGCCTTTCAGGTTGTTTTCAGCTGAAAGGTTGGTCAGGTACATAGTTTGCCATGCTGTTAGACACAGATATTTTCACTAGTTTCTGATGGCAATATCTCTAATGTGCATTATACTGTTTTTTTTTTTTTTTTTTAGAGCACTAGTAGTTAAAGTCCTTCTGCCTCAGTACTCATGAGAAATTTGGTATATACCTATCATTAAGAGTTGCTCATTATGACAGCAATTCCCAACTAGAAGTCAATAGAGGACATTTCCCTTGGAGGTGGAAAGTAGGTATCAAAAATCTGTGCAGTTTTTAAAGGAAATATTTCTTCTCATTTCTCTTTTAAAAATCATACTCTTGAAGTAATAGGGAAAGTATTTCAACCCCTTAACTATGATTCAATCTCATTATTATAAACAAAGACCTTGTTAAGAATGATGCTTATAGGGTTGTTTCAGTATAGAAACACAGGTCTATCTGCTACTTTATCAGGGTTTCTCAAATCAGGGTGTCCCAAGGATATGCTCTGGAGGCTATTAATTCTGCAAATTTTCATTTTGTGCTTTCATTTCAATCCATATTAAAGATATATTTTATGATTTTTAAACAGAAAAACAAAGAGGCTTTAAAAAAAGTCACTCAGGAACCAAAGTTGATGCTTCTCAAAAAGGGATCTATAAATTAAAACAAATCTAACAACAAATAACCCATAAATATTATTCAACTTGAGAAATATTGCTTCATCCTAAAGGCCTCACATTGCTATGCTTTAATTACTAGGTAAATCTTAGTTCTATATTCTACTCCACATTTATACTTTAGTTACCATACCTGATTATAAAGGTCTATGATTTCGTATCTAAAATTCTCAAAGGCAGATATATTGCAGGTTTCAAATACTTGGGGTTTACAATGCAATATGTATAAATTACAAATATGATATGTCAGTGAGATCTGAGGCAGCACCCCATGATAAACACATTAATATTTCTGCAGCAGAATGTACATACTAAGGGAGAGGGGGTAAAGTCCCATCAATAGTTTTAGTTCAGATCATATTTTGCCACTATATAGGTTATGAGAGAATTTTTGATATTCAGAGATTTTTGGATGTCTAAATCCCAAAGATGGCAATATAGATTCTTTATCTGCTATGGATTAGAAAATCAGATAAATCTCATTAGAACTTCATATAATATTATAGTAAATAAGATCTGATATGGGCAAAGAGTTTACCTTAAGGTGTATGAATTTAATGTATAAGATTTGCAATATTCTGGGCCTCCCTGGTGGCGCAGCGGATTGAGCGCAGTGCTGTGAAGCTGTCCACAGCCTCTGCAGCGCCGGTTCGATTCCCAGCCAGCCAGGGAGAAACCCACATGGCACAGCAGACCTCTCCTGTCTCGCCCGCTGCTTCCCTCAGCAGTGTACTTCGGTCCCCGCTCTGGCTCTGGTGAATTCTCTCACCCTCCCGTGTTTCTGACTGTACCTAGTGTTTGTATAAATAAATAAATAAATAGATCTTTTTGATAAATAAATAAATAAAAATAAAATAAAATAAAATCTTAAAAAAAAAATTGCAATATTCTCCCCAACTACTTGGGAGCCCCTATTTGTCCAGTTGTGGTCTAACAGTTGATGATACAAAATAAATAACCTGCAGATAGGCAGGGACTGTATTATATTATGAATTCTAAAATGTTAGAAGCACCTAAATATATATAAAAATTTAAAACACATGCCAAAGCTAATGTATTAGTTATAATGGATTATGAGAATAGTATTTCTTTTTTTTTTTTTTAAGATTTATTTATTTATTTATACAAGCACTGGGTACAGTCAGAAGTGCAGGAGGGTGAGACAGAGCGGGGAGCTGAGCAGGCAGAAGGACCGAAGTACACTGCTGAGGGGAGCAGCGGGCGGCAAGAGAGGTCTGCGCGCCATGTGGGACCCTCACCGGTGGCTGGGGAGCAGCCGGGGATCGAACCAGAGCTGCAGAGGCTGTGGGCAGCTTCGCAACCCAGCGCTCAACCGCTGCGCCACCAGGGAGGCCCGAGAATAGTATTTCTATGCCTAGCAATATGAATAAAAAGTAAAGAAAGAAGTATAAAACACATTCTACTCAGAATAACCTCTTCTGGTCCTTTTCTAAGAAATTTCAAGGAAAAAACCTTTTGGGCCTACATTCATGGCTCTGTTGTCACAGTTGTTAGATTCTGGGATAAAATAGTGTATGTATATAAAAAAAAAGCTTCTTTACTTACAAAGAAATGAATATAATGTAATACTAGGAGATACTAAATGGAAACTTTATAGGGCAGTATATTTAAAGTTAAATTTATGAAGCATAAGCAATTTCATGTCATAAAAAATGGATGACAGTAAAACCCAGATTATTATTCTTGATATTATAAGGATATGTGAAGGCAGCAAAGCAGAGGGTTGAGAGCAGGAGCTGTGAATAGATACTGCCTAGGTCCAAATCCCAGCTCTGTTTCTCAAGAGGTTGGTTAGGACTATCAATTTAGAATTCTTATAGTACCAACTTCACAAAGAATGTTAGTACAAATTAATTGAGAATAAATATAAAGTACTAGAACAGAGGTAGAGAGTAAGTACACAATGAATGCTAAGATGTAATTATTACTGCTGTTATTAATTTCTTAAATTATTTGTTTCCTTCCAAAAGTAGATTTATAAATGTCTTTCAAATATAAAAACTAGGGTACAAAATCAGCAACACGTTATGTCTTGACCTTTGAGAATTAAAAAAAAAAAAAAATCAAGTATTAAGGATGGATCTCCCCTATGAGTAAATGATACAAATGGGCAAGTCAGTTAACTAAAACTAGTAATTCTCAGAAAAGTGCCCCAAAAGCAATTTCATCATTTTCTTTATGATATGACTTTCACTTCCTTATTATATTTGTTTCCATGCACTTCGTTACTTGTTTTGGCAATAGTATCACAATGATGTTATTTCTAATAAATAACTTAAAAGAATTTAAAACCATATACACTTTTAGAACCTTTCTATATTTTGTTATTAATCACCCTCCCCAAAGTATAAGGTACTTTATTAACAGATATTGCTTATACCAACATTTCCCTACACACACAAAGAATTTATAAAAAAAAAAATTACCTCTAAAATTTATTAATGATATTTATTAACAATGATATTCTCATTAACAAAAAGAAAATACATAATGACAAATACAATGCTACAACCCAAAGAGGACAGGAATATAAAAATCTACACTAAGAGTTATATTCATTTGTATCCAACTAATTCAGAATTTATTATCCTCTTACAAATTTCTGATGTTAACATTTTTTAAATAATTTCTTCTCTACTTGCAAGATATTACATTGTGAATTCACATTGTGAATTTTAGCATTATATCTATAGTACTTTAAAAATGTGGGTTAATGAATATAAATTTAATGATCCTCAAAATCGGGCTCTCAGAATAGCAATTCTCAAGAATATATTATTTTTTCAATGTGTACTTTTGTAAGTAACATAGCTCTACAAGAAACAGGAAAAACTACAATTAACTCAGGTGTTTAATACATTTAAAAAGTGTTTCAAATTATATTAATGAATCTCTTCATGTATATTTTTCAATTTTTTTAATCTCACTAAATTGTATTACTTAAAGGTGTAACTATGTCATTGTGACGTAATTTTTTTTTTTTTATATATAGAGGCATGTTTTTTTATTTATTTGTTTGTTTGTTTGTTTTGTTTATACATGCACTGGGTACAGTCAGAAGCGTGGGAGGGTGAGAGAATTCACCAGAGCCAGAGCGGGGAGCAGAGCAGGCAGAAGGACTGAAGTACACTGCTGAGGGGAGCAGCGGGCGGCAGGAGAGGTCTGCGCGCCATGTGGGACCCTCCTCTGGTGGCCGGGGAGCAGCCGGGGATCGAACCGGCGTCGCAGAGGCCACGGGCAGCTTCGCAACCCAGCGCTCAACCGCTGCGCCACCAGGGAGGCCCTGTGACGTAATTTTTAATTGCTAAAATTTTATATTTAACCCATTATATTACCTATGAATTACTATTAGGAAATTAAAAAATCATAATGAAAAAAGACTCAAATCAAACTAAAATACAATAGTCAATCTTGATATCCCTAAGCAAACTTACTCTAGTTTATTTTTTCCTTGTACTTCCCTAAGCTAGTCATTA